TGCTGACTTGCAAAACAGACATAACTCCAAATGAAGCTGCGCCTGTGTGTGCATGCTGTGATCCATCTTATTACAGAAAAACCCAATAGCCTAGAAAGAGGAGGCAAGCGATCTGAGAACAGGTGTCCTTATCGTTATGTGAGTATTTTTCAGCACCTACTGTGTTAAACCCTGTCATGGACACCTGGGAAAGGTAATAAAAGCTCATTTTATAAACTGGATTTGACACTAAATTCTGTTTATTTGCTTTGTGCAGTGATACCACAGCGAAACACAGTAGAACTTGAATAAAATACAGCTCAGTTTCTCTAGGCACAGATAATTAATTTGTGGCAAAATCGCTCAATTTAATACGTTGCTACTGAAGATGATCAAAGTCCCATTGTCCTGCAGACGATCTTTGTTTGGAAAGCCTCCACCGAAGATGCAGAATGCAAAGACAAGTATTTTTACCCTCCCATCTGCAGAGGCCAAGGAGAGTAGTGGCTGATTAAAGGCTCTTCTACCTGGGGAAGCTATTGCAACATAAGCTGAGCCTGTGAGCATCAAAATCTATACTGATATCTGTAGTCAGCTCCTTGCAAGGACACTCGTATTCTGCTCTAAGCATGTCTTTGAGTGGCTGCTACCAAATAGATTCAGCACTCAAAAGGTAGCATAAAGACATGAGCAAGGTGAATTAGAGCAGGAGACTCATTCTGCGTCGCTATCCCAGCCTGCTTTCCCAGCTTGACGTATAGTGGATGTGCGTTTGTTTATTGTGGGATAGTGGAGGCTTTGCTGTCTCTTGACTGATGGAGATGTTTGCAGGAGGGACACTCAGACCCAGGAAGTGGGAAATGCTTCTGGTTTCCACCCTATGGATGTTTTTTGATACAATGGGGCTTGATTGCTCCATGCAGATGAAGAGATTTGGAAGGAATTCTAGGAGCTGAGTGCAACACGTCATCCTTCCAGAGAGCTTTGGGAACACAAGGCAGTTTGCACAACCCATAGAGTAGCTGGTTCTCAGAAGTTCCTCATGCTTCTGGCTAGCCTGGGTTCCGCTGGTTGCAAGCAGGTCTGAACCAAATTTTTGTGGGACAGATGAAGTGTCCTAATGGGGACATGAGAAGGGCTGCAGAGCCTCTCTGCTGCTTACGTGATGCAGAGTAGGTGGCACACCTCCATAACCCACATCCTCTGCTGAAAATGAGACCCTCCAGTTGGCCACCTCTCACATCCCCAAAAGACTCCCATAAGTCATGCAAATGTGGGCCTTGATTTAGCTTGCCAGGAATGTACTGACCATTTTGCCATGTCTGGACTTGACTCAGTTGATTAGAAGATAAATAATTTCAATGAATTACTAAGTGAATGGTTCCTCTGGACTTCTGCTTTACTAAACATACAGTGTTGTTGCAACAGCCACATTAAATTCAGGTGTGTGATTAGATGATAAACGCACATGCACAACCACTTTTACCCACAGTGCTGCTCTCATCAGTGAGGATACCCAGCATCCAAGTCAGAGCTAAAAAAAAAGGGTTGAACCAGTTGCCTGCCAAAGAGACCAATGTTTGTTAGCCTTACTTACGTGCAGAATTATGTAACAGTCTCCTTCAAAAAAAGTCCCATAAGCCTTTTCCGGTACAGGAACCATCTTCATATTCTGTAAGAAAATGAGTGTTTGGGTCATTGCTAGAACTTCAGAGCCAGAAGTTGGTGGGTGTGAAACAGGACAGCTGGGGAGCACGAAACACTAAAGTGACAATTAGCATTTGGAGAAGGAAGAACCAGGGCTGTGCTCATAGGTTGGGAAAAGCCACTTCTGGGAGAAATCCCAAAAGTACTAAGGGATGAGAGGGGCAAATGATAATGCTGCTTGGCCAGATTGACAAGTATTTTTTACTCTCCTTGCCCCTCTGCAATCCTGTAGGTCTAGAGCAAGAAGACTTAGTGGTCAGGCTGAAGTGCTCCAGAGCTTGCATTTGTAGGGAATTTCCCAGGGGAGTGAGCACATCTCATCCTAGGTTTAGTTTTGGGGCATGGTTTTACTCGGTACCCATAAGTTCAAGGTTAACTTTCAGGGCTTTGTTAGGATAACCACTTTGCCAGGGATTCATAGCAACTAGCAGTGCTGAGAAAAGACGGACTTGAGGACACTGATGTGTCCCTCACCCCTCCAGACCCTAATTGCACACTTCATCTGGTACAAGTGCACAATTAACCAGCCATGCTTGCCCAGTGTAGGTGCCTGGATGTGCCACCCACCACTACACAAGGAGCTCCTGGGCTTGAACTGGCTGTGTGGTTCCCTGGAATTAGAGACATACATTCTTCTGGTGGCCTGACTTGTTTCCCAGCATACCAGCCTGGCCCTTGTGAACCAACATGTCTCTAATTACAGATCCTCTGGGACGAAGCTTAGTACAGTGCTTTGGAGAGAAATGGAAAGGCAAAGACCCTGTGATATTTGGAACATAGCTGGGACCTGTAGAGGGCCACCACCACTTGGAGACACGTGTTGGACCCCCCTCCCACTGCTCCTCTGAGTGGACTCTGGACCTCATTCTAAGTCTCCTCTCGTTGCAGGGGAATGTTCTTGGTGAACTTGGCCAGAAAAAGGCAGAATTGAGTACAGCCCGGCTCCAAACCAAAACCAAAGACCACCGCAAGCAGAAGGTGACCTTGCAAGCTGCAGTATCTTTCCCTGCAGTGACCCATTGATCAGGGTGGGAAAGATAAGGGTGAAGCACAAATAGACTCCACGGGATGCCTTTGCTGCAAAAATGGGTGCCTTCCCCATGGCAGCTGCTGGTACAGACTAAGGTTACCTATGCATAACCCCTCTTCTTGGTGAAACAGGTAATTTATTTCTGGTGTGCTAATGCAGCCTTGCATTGGTTCCTGAAAGGGGTGAGAAAGCCTCCAGTGCTGGAAGAACAGCTTCAGTCCCACCATGTTTATATTTACTTAGTCAATATTATCCCTGTTTCACAGAGCAGGAAACCAAAGCAATAACATGTTGAAAGTTGCATAGGGAGAAGCTGGGTCTTCTGTTTCGCACTGTGTCTTACCTGTAACACCCTCTTTTCCTACCCAGATTACTTCAAGAATATCTCTTTCTTGAAACATATACACACACACACATGCAGAGGACATATGCCATCATTGCCTTTTGTCATACCTCTATGCCCCATATCTGCAGTCCCAGCTTTCTCTCGATAGTTGGGAGATTTGTGTCACCGTCTGTCATCGTGTCGTCTGAGCTAGAAGGAAAAGGAAGAAGAAAAAACAAAATAACTATATAATTGGATACAACAGTAAGTGTGCTAGTCAGCTGGGTTCCTCTTACTGTCAGTGGAGGTTTAGTACAGGTAATCCACACCTTGAAGTGTCTCTATCTCTCTACTGACTATGAAAAGAGCAAAGCTGTAGTTATCAACAGTTAGGTGGGATGAACCCCCATTCCCAGGGTATCCATGCTCATGGGGGCCAAGCAAAGTGTGGGATCACAGCCCAGCAAAGACTGGATAGGATACCGTTGTTCTGGTGTGGGATTATTTTTCCCCTGTTTGAATAGGTGGAAAAGATTTGCCGGGGTGTTGGACCTGACATCAGCACTGCTTTGTTTCCACCATGGCACAAGGGGTGGCAGAGAGAATGGTGGACCTCCAGAAGAACCATGACCTCCTGGAGCAGCCGCTGGAGGTCAGGTCAGGTACCGTGGGGCACTGGGAGCCCAAGGAATGAAGCCCTTCCACTTCAGGAGGAGATTCAGGTCTAAATTAAGACACCTGCAAGGTATTCAAGCATTGGAACAGGCTGCCCAGGGAAGTGGTTGAGTCTCCATCCCTGGAGGTATTTAAAGAACGGATAGATATGGTGCTTGAAGACATGGTATAGATGGACTTGGCAGTGATAGGTTAACGGTTGGACTCGATGATCTTAAGGGTCTTTTCCAACCTTGACGATTCTATGATTCTATCTCAGGGCAGGGCACCAGGCGCTCAGCTCCGTAAAGGTCAATGGAGACAGCCAGCGCGGTCAGCAGAGCGTATGTAGAGATCCAGCTGATGACCCAGATGTCTACTTTACACATAGCCGAGGAGCTCCCTAGGCTCCGCTGCCTGTATGGGGAAGAGGTAGGTTTCAGTTGCCCACACAAATGTGTCTGGGGACATTTGAGATGTTTTTGGTATCTCCAGCTGCCCCTCTGATTGGTGAAGGCCTCCCATCCATTCTCTACATATCTACCAGCTGTGAAAAGAAACAAGGACTGCCCTTAGCTATGCTCCCTGTTCCTACTGCTTGGATAGCTGAGGTTTTGCTCAAGAAGCAACTTCTGAACCCAGCTTGTTTACAGGGCAGCCTCCTGAAGCAAATCAAACCCAAAACCAATGTATGTGAAAACACTGGGTTACATCCTAGCAGAGCTGGCTGGCCCATGGGGCACGGCAGGTGCCTCCTGAGCAGCTCGGCGCCAGTGGAGCAGCCACGGGACAGATTGTGTTTGTGTAGGGGCAAGACCCATATCAGCCGTTCCCATATGAATCAATCCTGCTCACAAATCAAAGCCCAGCTTCGAAAGAAAACACGGCTCACTGATTTCTGTGTTTTGCATTCATTTGCTTCGCCAGTGCGCTCCCCTAATTTGCATTTGATCATGACAGACTGAACGATTGTACTACGTTAAAAACAACAGCAACTTGATTGACTGCATTTTCTTCCCTGTCTCTGGATGAAAAGGCTGCACTGATTGTAGGCCATGGCCTCTCCTGCGCTCCTCTGCTCAGCTGTAGCAAACCGCCTACGAGAAGGAACGGTGCCATGGCTGCCTCAACTCGGCACAACTGAGCCACGATAAGATGAAAAATAAAAGAAGCTATTGCACAAAGCCATGGAAGAAGCTTCTTCTGAGGAAGGAAAAGAACAAAGACAGATGATCCCCTGCCAGAACGCGTCTTTATTGCTTGTGTTATGAGAGCATGGAGAGACGTGCTGCTGCACTTGGCACCATAAAGTCATGAGAAGCGATGGTCCTTGTCCTGAAGGGTTTGCACACTAAGAGCACAAAAACTGCTGTTCTAGGCAGGAGTGTTGGTCCATCCAGATCTCCCACAGCCCAGAGCTGCCAGACGCTGGCTCCTTGCACAGGCAGTAGAGATATGCAGGTACCTCCAGGGGTGTTTTGAGCACAGCCCCAACACCTCTCTGCTAACTGAGGAGGCACCCACAGTCTGCAGCACTCAGTATCAGGAGTCAGACATGCTTACTCCTTCCTGAACACAGATTTATCTGACGGACTATGGAAAACTGAGTCAATGTGGCCTCATGTACCTACGAGGAACACATTCAGCAACCTTCATCTCCCTCTCAGGTCCTCCAGATAGCTTCCAGGCAAGAAAACAAACAGCAAGCATTAAAAAAGATGTTTTTCATCTCAATTCCCAGAAAGGTAATTGAGACCCATACAGATTAAAAGCCAGATCCATGAAGATATTTCATTGTCTACAGAGGAGCTAGACACTTTTCTGAACAGGGTCCTAACTCACCTACTGGGAAATCCAGGGCTAATCAGGAACTGAGGCCAAAAACATGATCCCAGTTCAGATCTTTAACCAAAAGACCTTTCGTTTCTTTTAATATGGCATTCAAAAGGTCCCTATCAAAGAAAAACCCAAGTGAAGCCTCCTTCCCTCAGCTATCTTTTAAATTTATTTAGGGTTTTTCCTTCCAGCATCAAAACAGGAACAACCTGAAAACAAAGCCAGTAAAGATGTTTATATGTAAGGGAGAATTCAGTGGGGTGAAGTTTTTTTAGCAAAACTGACACTGCTCTGTGTGGAAGGCAGCAGGCGTCTTGCTCGCCCACTAACAGTGCAGGAAACCGGCAGCTGGCCAGCTGTGAGACACAGCTGGCTCCCTGCTTATCCCAGCATCCCAATCTCTCCCGTCAGAAAAGTTAACCCAAAGGATGCTGAGATTCCTCTGAGTGCAGACAGCCGTGCTGGACAAAACCCTCCAAAAGTCAGTAGTTCTCTACCGATTCCCACCCAAACCTTTTTGACTCAAAACGGGGATCTTGGAGCTCCTCTGCTGCTGGGGTTCCTTTCTCCATCTGAAACTTGCCCATGAGTGCTGGTCCCCGCTTTTCTGGGAAATGCTGTCCCTCCCTTCCTCCTTAGTCATTAAGCTGGGGGGAGTGGGAAGCACAGACAAGGTTGGCTGTTTCTTTGGACTTTCCAGCTTCTTTCGGCTGGTGGCCAAGTTAGAAATAATAGAAATATTACTTATATAATCAGACAGATCATTTCATTAATGATTTAATGTGGGTTCTTAATCAGATGATCCCATAATTCAACTCCTGCCCAGACACAAAATCCAGTATTTATGGAGTGAAAACTTCTCACTATACTGAAATCAGGAAGGGCAGAAACTTTTCTAATTTAAAAAGAAAAAAAAAAGAACGTTAAGAGTCTTCTGTTCACTGTGGGGTTTCAACAGCAGTGTCTGGGTCAGTTCCTATCTCAGTCAAACCAGTTTTGCCCCGTGCTAGGTGAAATGCAAATTGGCAAGAAGCATGAGTCAACTGCCCCTGGGGCAGGAATTCACCGGAAAAAAGTCCAGGTTTTGGGGATGGACATTTTCTTCCTTGTACATAGACACAGCTTTACTGGTGAAGGGGGAAGAGAGGCACTAAAGCAGCTGAAGCTCACCTCTTTACCTCCACATTAGTAACATGCAATACCCCATTTCCACCTGCAGGGCCAGCTACCTTATTTCCACCCCTTCCAGGGACTCTCGCAACCATGGAAAGAGGAGATAAGTTCACACCATGAGTGCGGGCTGAGAGGTGGCCACTGCGTAGCAAAGAAAACTGCTGGCTTGGAGCTGCTCTGCTGGGTCATCACCGCTTGGTTAAGATGCTATAAATTAAACTGCAAAGAGCAAATGCTGCTGTTGGGTGAGGGCAGAGGACCTGGAAACCAAATGTCAGTGGCTGTCATCTTGGCTGGATGACACAGTGGGGACAACCTGGAGCCTCCAGAGCTAAAAGCAAAGCCTTTCCTAACACAATCTAGGTAACAAAGCTGATGGGTGAGGGCAGACGGGTCTCTGTTACACCCGCTCCCCTTCACGTGCTGCCAAAATCGCAGCAACGCTCCTGCTTGCTAAATATGATCCCCGTCCACTCTCCAACCAGCACAGTATGGGGAAAAGCTTTGCCTTCAGGAAGGACTAGATGACTAATTAAGTGTCAAGGTGACTCCCAAGATTGGTTAATGAATAACAGTTGGGGTGGAAGTGCCAGCAATCACTACTTCATTTTGGTCAACTTGGTAAGTGTTGAGAAAGCAGACCTAGCAGGACATTTCTTCAGGCAGACTTGGGCTGTTTGGGTGGGGATGGAAAATAAGGACTCAGAAGGGGGATAGGAGATCATTTCAAACTCCCGAAGTACATTCTGAATTAAGCCTGATTTGGCTTGTCTGGGTTTTGGCGGCACACTTGCTGGGCTGTAGTCACGGTAATAAAAAAACCCCAGTGAAATGACTAATGCTCTGTACAGCTTCAGGAAAATAGGAAGCAGCTGTGGCTCCAGCCTTTCCAGGCTGAAAGGCCTAATTATTGGGAATACTTGGACTGGCATTAGATGAGGTAAACCAGGGCTGTTGAATTGCTTTCATTGTCTCCATTATAGTTGGGCATCTGGGCCCAAGTAGGTGCCATTTTTTTGTTTGCATAAAGGACAGCAGTTAACTCTTGTTTTGCCCAGAGGAATGAAATTCAACGTTGAGTTACCTTGTGTGGCTCATCAGCTACTGCTCAGGACCGTTGCTTTGAACAGTGAGTGTCCCCAGTGAGTGGCTGTCTGAAACTACAGCACTCAACCAATATAAGCTGTCTTTTATTTTCCTGTTGCAAGAGGAGAAAAACGTGGCTTTTATCTCACGTGGAAATGATGGGTAGGGAGGTCCAGCAATGGGGCTTGCCTTCTCTCTCATGTTGTCACACACTCTGTCACATAAGATCCTCCTCCAATATTTTGGTAGGAAAGCCAAGTCTGCATAGGTGAGAGCACCCACGCCATACGTATCCACATGTGTATGAGTGTGCTGGTGACAGCTCCTGCCCTCTTGCACAATCGCAGGAAGGGTTGCAATCAGAGAAGCTGAATCGCATTACCTGCGTTGGATGTGCTGGGACATCGTGATGAGGCAGGGAATGGGATATGTATTTTGCGGGGTGATGAAAGAGGGAAAAG